TCCCAGAAGGCATAGAGGGTTCCTTAAAAGGTTCCTTAAAGGGATCAAGAAGGGAATTCAGGAATATGGCTTAAGTTATATAGGGCTTCATATTATGATTTAAGCCATATTCGTTGATTAAGGGGTATTGGACTCTCTGGGTCACTGCTAGGTCCTTCTACCTCATTGAATCCTAATCAACGCCGACAGGAGGTTCTTAGGCTCACATGCGCAGTTTCCACAGGTTTACTTTTGCAGACTTACATGAGCCATATATGACTAACCAGCATGCACCTGCGTTCATACACGTAGCTAAACACCGAAACCCTTCCAGAGTCCTTCAAAGTCTTGACATTCCTGTCAACAAGCAGAGACTGGGCACTTGGAGTCCACGGGTAAAAGGAGGGAGGTATATACCCATAATATAGAATTTAGATACCCATTATATAGCCCATTATAGGGTAGGGGTCTCCATTAAGGGTCCCTCCTTTTCCCCTTTGATGGAGTATGCGAATGCGGCTATGACGCTAAGCGCCGTGATTGTGAAAGCTGTTGGCCGTCGTACATCTCTCATTGACGGAGTCTTGGGAGTGGGGACGTTCACTGTACATCGGGCAACTTCCGCCAAACGGTTTAGGATTCAAGGCCACGTTTAGCATTCAGGGCTCAGTTTCAACATGGCGTAAGATGAAGGATTTCCGCTTCGGAGCACCTGCTGTGCCCTTCCGTCACATCTCTGCAAACAAGCCCAGCACGGCTCTGGACTGAAGCTTCGTCTTGATGGCTCGGACCTACTTTGGGCCTAACTATCGTGAATGCAAATTGTGTACTGTGAGTTCTAAATCCAAAGCTACAGTTGCATAACCATTAAAATCTACAGGGATGCGCCAGGGTGTAAAACCTTGCGACTTGAATCTGCTACATTAGATTGCACGGTTGAGGGTTTCGACATCCAACTCTTTAGCCTTGCAGCAAACATCAGCGAACTGTCCAGCTCAGGGCGGCTATTTGGATTTGGTAAGGCTTAAACCCTGAACCCTAAACCCTAAACCCTGCTTGCAGCTGCACTTGTTCCGAGATGTGGATCCCACGGCCGCAGCAGGGGCGCACCCTGCAGCCGCTTGTCTTTTCCCATCTTTCGCTTAAACCCAGAAAACAAGAAATATCCCCCTAAACCCTAAACCCTAAACCCTAAACCCAGAAAACGAGAAATATCTCGCAATTATGTACTAGAAGGGCCCTTTGTCAAGTTCAAGACGTGTTGTGTATTGGGCTACCGTAGACTCTTGAGTTTAAGCTGAGTACTGCACTGCCTCTAAACGCAACAAACCCCTCAGCCGACACTCCAACTTACGGCCTTGTGTCCCACCTAACCACTATCGGGTTCGTGATGGTGTATTCTGGGTACGGCCCCCACTCAGTAATAGTTGAACAATGATTCAGTATATAGATACATTAGGACCTTAATAGTAGCCCTAGTATAGACTCTTACTGTATGGAGGCAGTACCTAAGGTGTATTCATGTCCCCGGGCCGTTGATGAAACTCTTCTCCTGTACCATGAAAGCAAACACTAGACCCAAGAGTAGCTTAGGAATAAAAAGGGTGCCCTTTTTGGTTTAAAGGGGCTTTTAAGTGAAGCTGAACCCTTACAAAGGGAAAAAGGGCCTACCCTGGGTCCTAGAACAACAGTTTCTGAACGCTCCTGCAGAGCCCAGTGACAACAAAAGCTGCAACAACAATAAGAGCAGCACAACACCCAAGCGCCTGACAGGAACAATGAAATTTACGACTGATACTACGACTTGGGGGCTGCTCTAAATTATGGTCCCTTTTTGGGGTATCCTATATAACAAGGACTATACTACTATAGGGCCCAAAAAGGGACCATAACTTAGAACGGCCCCCACTTCCGAAACCAACCCGAAGGCCATTAGTTCGTTCATTCACTCAGAGCCTATAGTGAACCCCAGAAAGTTGGAACATGGATGTAGGATGATTAGTGCTGGGATCCCCTGTACCTTACCTTTACGGCCATGAGGATGTCGTTGTTCCAACTTTCTGGCTTCTACTGTAAGCCCTCCGACCCCGTCGTAGGTTAGGTCCAGAGCTGCCGGCCTGAACCACGAACTCAGAAAGCCCCCTTCTTTAAGTTAAAGACTTTAACCATTGAATAAAGGGCTTCTTGAAATCATAGAGGGGTCCTCCATGTGATGTAAAGGGGCCCAATAAACGTTGATGAATGAATAACTCTCCAAGACCATGAGGGATCTTACAAATGCTCCAAACTGCCGGCTGGACTGCTTAAACCCTTGGGGGCTCTGTAAGAAACCCTAAACACCCCTTAAACCTTGCAAAGAAACCCGAAACTCAACACTTTGGAAAACCCTTGACCCCTGAACCCTTGAACCATAAACCCTAACCAAACCCTAAACCCGAATTGAAGCCTAAACCCTATGACCTGAATCAAACTTCTCTGGGAAAAGACGGTGCTCTCCCCAAGCCTCCTAGGGCTCGGAGCCTAAAGCGCTGCTTCTTTGGAGCTTCACACGCGCTCGGCGGACTGCACTGAAACATAGAGACTTAAGGTTTGGCGGATCTATGGGTTTAGGTCTAGGGTCTCTGTTTTTGGTTTACGGTTTAGGGTTTTAAGGTTTAGGGTTTAGGGTTTTAGGGTTTAGGGTTTAGGGTTTTAGGGTTTAGGGCTTAGGGTTCTTATGCAGATGATTGTATTGCGGTACAATAATGTTCAAGCCCTGATATACAGTTAGACGCCGTCTAAAGTCTACTTGGAGGATGGGGGGACTAGATACCAAGTAGAGGTATAAGTACCCCAACAGAGTTCCTAGACCCTAAACCCTGAAGACTCCAATATCCCTTAACTAAGGAATATTCCTTAAATTGCAGTAGGATCCTCAAGATGATTTCAGGAAAATTCCTTAACTAAGGGATATTTAAGTGTCTGGGACCCTATCACCATAAAAGGGGTCCGACTTGGGGATGCGATGTATGAGGGAGGCCTGAGGAGCGGCATTCCTCATCATTCAATAGAATACCCCTTAATTGAGGAATATAGCTTAAATCATAATATGAAGCCCTATATAGTTTAAGCCATATTCCTTAATTAAGGGGTATTGGGCTCTCTGGGGAGGAGTGGCATTCCTCATCATTCAATAGTTCATAAACCCCACTTGGAGGGTCGTGGGACGTTATGATTATCGGTTTTATAAGTACCTTAGTTGGGGTTGTACGTAGATATACCTATAGTTTCCTTACCTATAATCCTACTAAGTCCCATCATCCTCTAAGCACACTTCGCTCCCACTCGAATAGTAGTATAGCCCATGAAAAGACAAGTTGCATAAGGTTTTGAAAAGGTTTTATACAAGTCGACATGTTCAAAATAGCTTGTCATCGGGGTTTGGTGTTCCATTGAGGCGTGTTTAAGGGATCTGCGAAAATTTAGTTTTTCGGGTTTAGGATATAGTGGCCGTAGTGACAGGACCACCTTGGGGTCAGGGTGGAGGGCTCATGGCTGCAATGATCAAAACAGGGCTTAGGGGTATATTTTGGGTGGTTGTCAAAATCATGGTCCCTTTTTGGTACCCTAAATATTAGGTGCCGTACTGCATTAGGGGCTCAACAAGGAACCCTAATTTTAACAACTACCCACTTGGTCTCGCAAAATACACTGTAAGGGTACATTATTGCTGGTTCTTCTGACCTCTACGTAAATCCAAGCTTAAGCGCTGCTAAAATTCTAGCATGCATCATCCAAGCAGTCAGCTCCGGCAGTTCCTAAGCTACTTCCCCAGAGATCCCAATACCCCTTAATTAAGGAGCATGGCTTAAGGCCTAGGGGTTCCTTAAAGGGCTCCTTAAAAAGATCTATAAAGGTTCTATAAGGGAATTGAGGAATATACCTTAAATTCTAGGGGGCCTAAATATTATGATTCAAAGTAATTCCTCAATTAAGGGGTATTGGGTTCTCTGGTCGAAACTCGTTCTGAGGCGCTCAGGGCATCTTGTCCTGTGCGAGCGAGGATTGAAGATGCTTGTTTCAGAAATGGTTTTTTTGTGATAGAAAAAGCACGAATGGGCTTCTGAGCATCTAGGAAGTCTCCCATGAGTTCGGGTGTTGCGGGATTTGTGTTTCAGGTTTCAGCTTCGACTTTCAGCTTCTGGACTTAGAGGGCGCTTAGTCTGTCTTTCGGGTGTCTCTTGGGCCTTCCCCGAAAGCTTTTTCGAGTCGGAGTTCAGCCAGAACCGTCCGCAAAGCAAACAAAACCAGCCCGAAAAAGCGTGCATCCCTTCAGCTACCATGCTCTGTCAAAGGGTCGGTCCAGGAGAAGGGAAACTTCCAGGGATCCGACAAGTCATGAAGCACTACGTGTCGACTTCGACAGCCATCAACATCAATTAAATTAGGACTTTACATCCGACGATAAGGGTAGTTGTCAAACTTATGGTCCCTTTTTGGGGTACCAGGACCCAAAACCACCCATAAGGGAAAGTAAGAATTATGCCAAATCGATACCTAGTCAAGTGGTTATCGCAGCGTATCCCTATCCACCGTGCCATATACTCCCAAACCCATGGTCTCACGAAAACATTCACCTTTTCTACAAAACAATACTCCAACACGTCTCGCATCGTTCTAACGTCATGAGGGCCCACAGATTGACATTGGGGCGTGGGGGTGACACTTTGGGGTTTGAGGTCCACTTAGAGGATTAGGGGACTGAGTAAGTAGGGCTAAAAGCGAAGTAGCTATAGGTGTATCTATTTATAACTCGAATAAAGGTGCCCATAACCCCGTTTACCAAGTCCAGATGATCCTCTGAGCAGGGACATGGGCGTGCTTTGAGCTTACCGGATTGAAAAGCACTCCCCTCGGCCCCACCCTGCAAACCCTAAACCCTAGACCCTCAACCCTGAACCGTCCACCCTTATATGCTGATGCTAAACCGTCGACTCTCAACCCTAAACACTGAAACCCGTGGGGCTCTCTGAGCTGTGGACTACCCACCGGCATTCTGCAACACATCGGGCAAGAGCTGAATGCCACCCTGCGAGCGCGCCGCTAGGCAGCCAGGGTTTAGCGTTTCTGTAAGGCCTCTAGAGAGCTTCTAAAAGGGATGCATAAGGGTTTTGTAACAGTTATTCTCCAAAGTTCAGAGGTTTAGGGCTCCAGGCGTTTAGGGTCGAAGGGTTTCCCACTTTCGGGGGTTCATTTGCTGGGTGTAAGATCTGATGTAAAAACAACACCAAACACAGAAAGCAACACAAAGAAGCAAATCCTGACAGGCCTAAAACCTGCGAGACTGTGAAGCTGCTGTAGAGGCATGTCGAAGCCCAAAACTATATAAACTAAACGGCGTTCCGTCAAAAAGCACTGACACAAAAATACCAAAAACAATGACAAAAACAACCAGATGCGCTCCTAAGCCCGCTGCTGATCACCCGTACAAAAAAAACTAGTCTACAAAACCCAACGTATGTGGTGTGAAAAACACGCGAAAAGGAATTTTAAAAAACACACACACACACACGCACACACACGCACGCCTCACGGAAGCAGCCGGCGAGCTGCCTTTCCTGGCCGAAGCGTTTCGTCTGGGCGCCCCGGATGGCGATGCCTCAAAGGGTGTTCTTCGAAGGCTGCTCTTAGGATTCCTGCGGTTGATGATATATTTATTACCTTAATGACCCTAGACAATGGAAATTATAGTATATTCCTTATTAGGGGTAATGCAGGATGTATATCATCAGCCGTAGGTTTAGGGCTTCGGGTTCCTATACCCTAAGGCCCCAAAGATGCAAATAGTACCCATTTGTTGCCCAAATTCTATAAATGCTACCTCCTTTGGGCTACCTGGAGCACCAGGATAAGAGATCCTGTACGGGATCTTTTGGGTGACTCCCAGAGAGCCCAATAACCCTTAATTAAGGAATATGGCTTAAATTATATAGGTGTTCATATTATAATTTAAGCTGTATTCCTTAATTAAGGGGTATTGGGCTCTCTGGGTTCTTCTTGTTGAGAGCTCCTTGCGAGATTTGTCGGCTTTCTGGGTTGGCTAGGGGTGTTGGTAGGGTTGGGAATTGAAGGTTGAATTCATCCAGGGTGTGGAGTTTGAGGGTTCAAGGTCAGCGATGGCTTCGTAGGCTTTTTAAGTGCCCATGCTTAGGATTCTTGGCAAATGCTACTCTTTAAGTGCTGTTCGTGGGCTCCTTGTTGCGCATTAGCATTGCTTACGTGCATCTTCGTTCTCGAGCTTTGCGTTTCTTGGGACCATTTAAGCGTTTCCTCAGATGCCGGAGGGATTCCCTAAACCCTAAACCCTAAACCGCCTTGGGGTCTCTTGTGGTTTTTAAAGGAACCCTTGGCCATGAACGTTTCGGGCTGCTGAGGGCCGTTGAAGTCTGGCCTCTTGCTAAGGAATTCACTTTGAGTTACCATAATGAGGAAACCATATTATTTTATGTAGATAAGGAATCTAGTTTCAGTTACCATATAAGGAAACCATACTATTTACTGTAGATAAGGAATCTAACTCAAGATACCATGAAAAGGAAATCATAGTATTTACTATAGATCCTATCATGGTATAAACCTTAAACCCTAAACCCTTAAAGGAACCCTTATAGATCCCTTAGAGGATCTCTTATAGATCCCTACTATGGCAACTTAAATTAACTCAAAATGAACCCCTTAACAAGAACCCAGTTTTGGAGTTGTTGTTTGAGGTGGCCTCCTCGGGAGGACTTTTTGCAGGGCAGCCTGGGGTTGCTTACGGTTTAGGGTTTAGGGTCTAGGGTTTTAGGGTTTGAGGGTTTAGGGTCTAGTGGGGTTCTTACGGTGGTTTAAGAATGCTTTAGGCCAGCTTCTGCAGTTTTCTTAGGTCTGTGTTGAAAAGTGTTTGAAGCGTTCTGCGGGTTTCTTGTGTAGGCTGTGTAGGCTTTCTGAATCTTGTAATCGGTGTGAAACTGTTTCTTAGGGTTGTTCTCAGGTTTCCTTTTGCGTGTACTTCAACTGGTGTGTTCATGCTTTCTTTCGGGTTTGTTTTCGCGCTTCTTGGAGTATACTATGTGTGTGTGTGTGTGTGTGCGCGCACGTGTGTTGTTTCTGCAGGGTGTTTATAGCTTCCTTGGTTCCGTCAAGGGTTTCTGAAGGCATTTTGGACGTGCCCCTTTATTCCCGTGCCCCGCGTCCCGCCGTTTGCGCGGCTTCAAGCTGTAAGTCTGTATGCCTTGAAACTTGGGGCGAGGCGTAACCATCGAAAGCCCTACGATACGCTTGAGGGCGTAGAAGTTTAGGGTTTAGGGTTTTGGGTTTAGGGTCCCAAAAAAGTCCAGAGATAACTGATACCCGGGTGCGTTGGCCAGCAAGCTGCTTGTGCCCATAGTTCCTGGCCACACGCAGTGCACAGAAACGCCACATGCAAATCGGGCATTTAGAGCTCGAATTTGCTGCAAAGATGTAATGTTCAGAACGGTGTCACGCCGACAACTCTTCAAAAACTAAGGAGCCAAGCTGCATTGCCGTCTCGCACCACAGGGACCAGCGAATCTGCTTGCCGCCCTGCCTGCAACCAACACAGCGACTCGAAGCCACAGAAGCCCTAGTTTACCAAGTAGGAAACTCGGAAACCTTCATCGCTGCGCTTATAGATTTTCGCTGCTCCTTCATGCGCATCGGGCAGCTCCAGACCCAAATTCTAAACCCTACTAAGCCCTAAACTCCCCAAATTCCCTCCACCCTAAACTCCAAACTCTAAACTCTAAACCCTAGACCGTACCTAAACCTTAAACCCTTATCTCGAAAGCCCTCGCCGAGGGGTTCATACTGTTCGGGTAGGGGAAGAAGCTCTCTATTCAAGGGTTTTTAGGATTAGGTTCTAGGGATCAGGGTTCAGGATTTAGGGTTAGGTTTTAGGGATCGAGGTACAAGGGTTATAGGGTTTAGGGATTAGACCAAAACCCAGGCTCCCTTAGCCAAACAAACTCCGGAAACCCTGAACCAAAGGGTCCTGCAGCCTTCATGGTTGTGGGTTTATTTAGGCTTCCGTGTTCAGGTGGTTTAGGGTTTAGGGTTTAGGGTTTAGGGTTTAGGGGAGTCAAGAAACTATGCTAAGGATCCCTCTGTCGGACAGGGAGTTAGTTTCGCTGGGTTTCTGGACTAATTGCAGATTCTTACTGGGGGCATTGGGCTCCGTGCTTCGGGACCAGGCAAATCTCGTCTTACCCAGAGAACCCAATACCCCTTAATTAAGGAAGTATAGCTTACAATCATAATATGAAGCCCTATAATATGAAGCCCTATATATGGTATGCCATATTCCTTCATCCCCTTATAGACCCCCTTATAGATCCCTTTATGGAGCCGCTTAATTAAGGGGTATTGGGCTCTCTGGGTATCTGAGTCTGAGTATAAAATTGGGGGGTACCCTTATTCAGGGGGGTCCTTATAATAAGGATCCTACTATTTAAGTTACCAGATTAGGGTCCCCCATTTTCGGAAACTCCCAAATGATAACAGCAATACTAGCATTAGCCGAAAGCTCTACACCCAAGTCCTTTGACCCTACAGTAAACCCAGAAATTTGGAAACCGTAGTAAGGCCAAATCGTGCTGGGATTACCTCTACATTACTCTCTCGGATTGAGGCTATTGGGTTTCCAACCTTTGGGCTTCTACGGAAAGCCGCCTTAGTAAGCAGTGTTCTAAGTAGTTTAACTAGGATAATAAATATAACTATAGTTACCTTATTTAAAACCCTACTTCCCAAGTCCCCTGATCCTCTAAGTGGTAGTTTCCGAAAACCGGGGACCCTTATATAGTAGCCTAAATAGTAGGGTCCTTATTGTGAGGACCCCAAAATAAGGTACCCCTAATTCTCGGAAACTCCCAAGTAAACCCAAAGTCCTTAGAGCCTGAGCCTTGAAGGCTTAGGGTTTAGGGTTTAGGGTTTAGGGGTTTTAGGGTTTAGGGGTTTTAGGGTTTAGGGGTTTAGGGTTTAGGGTTTAGGGTTTAGGGTTGAGGGTTGAGGGGTTTAGGGGTTTAGGGTTTAGGGGTTTAGGGTAAGTCCCAAGCCCCCATCTTAATCTGGCTTCTTGCAGGACTGCCCAGAGACTCCAATATCCCTTCATTCAGGAATAGCTAGGGTTCCTGTAAGGGATCCATAAGGGATCTGTAGGGTTTAGGGCTCAGGGGCCTCCAATATCCATCATATTAGGGATCCTACTACAACTTACCTTATGTTCCTTAATTGAGGGATATTGGAGTCTCTGGGTGAGCTGGGTCGCCATGGTAACGAAAGCCTAGGATACACCCGACTATGGTAACGCAAACTAAGTAGTTTGGCCGCCGGTCTAACATAGAGGCCTGAATTATAATAGTACTAGTAATAATACAACTAATAATAGTTAATCATGGTAAACATAACAATAATGAATAGTATAGAAGCGTGAACCCCCTAAACCCTAAACCCTAAACCCGAATAATTAATGATGTTACTCCTTAAGGTTGTTGATTATGTTTATACTAGAACATGCCCCAAAGCCCCGTTCTAATTGCTGATGCCCCCATACTAGGGTTGCAACATTCTCACGTTCAGGGTTAAGGCTCAAGAGTTTAGGGTTCAAATTGCTCGTGCTTGTTTAAAAGCCTCAATGAAGCGATTCTAATGGCGCTTAGGGCCATGAAGGAATTTACGGTTTCCTGCGCCGTTTAGGATTGAGAGATTCCAACAGCACTGATCAGCTTGTGGTTCAGAGTTTCGGATATGGGGTTTAGGGGTTTAATTTGGGGTTTAGGGGTTCAGGGGTTTAGGGGTTCAGGGGTTTAGGGTTTAGGGGTTTAGGGGATCAGGGTTTCAGGTTTAGGGTTTCGGATTTGGGGCGTGTGTCTGGGCAGTTGGCGTTTGAGACGAAGCCGAACTGCCCCCACAATCACGGCAAAGTCTTCAGCTGCTCCTGTACAGCGCTGCTGTCGCCACCGCGACAATCATCACCCCAGGTGACCACAGATCCGTCGCCCAGGATTGCAGCAAATGCGCCAGCAGAAGCTTGGATCTGCTGCACATTCTTTAGTTGCTCCTGTACGGCACTGCTGTCGCCACCGTAGTCCTTCCCACCCCAGGCGACCACAGATCCATCGTCCTTGATTGCAGCAAATACACGATCAAACGCTTGGATCTGCTGCACATTCCTCAGCTGCTCCTGTACAGCGCTGCTGTCGCCACCGCGACAATCATCACCCCAGGTGACCACAGATCCATCGCCAAGGATTGCAGCAAATGCGCCAGCAGAAGCTTGGATCTGCTGCACATTCTTCAGCTGCTCCTGTACGGCACCGCTGTCGCCACCGTAGTCTTGCCCACCCCAGGCGACCACAGATCCATCGTCCTTGATTGCAGCAAATGCGCCAGCAGAAGCTTGGATCTGCTGCACATTCTGTAATTGCTCCTGTACGGCACTGCTGTCGCCACCGTGGTCTTGCCGACCCCAGGCGACCACAGATCCATCATCCTTGATTGCAGCAAATGCACGATCAGAAGCTTGGATCTGCTGCACATTCCTCAGCTGCTCCTGTACAGCGCTGCTGTCGCCACCGCGACAATCATCACCCCAGGTGACCACAGATCCATCGCCAAGGATTGCAGCAAATGCACGACTAGAAGCTTGGATTTGCTGCACATTCCTCAGCTGCTCCTGTACGGCACTGCTGTCGCCACCGCAGCGATCATCACCCCAGGTGACCACAGATCCGTCGCCCAGGATTGCAGCAAATGCGCCAGCAGAAGCTTGGATCTGCTGCACATTCTTCAGCTGCTCCTGTACGGCACTGCTGTCTCCACCGTAGTCTTGCCGACCCCAGGCGACCACAGATCCATCGTCCTTGATTGCAGCGAATGCACCAAAAGAATCTTGGATCTGCTGCACATTCTTTAGTTGCTCCTGTACGGCACTGCTGTCGCCACCGTGGTCTTGCCGACCCCAGGCGACCACAGATCCATCGTCCTTGATTGCAGCAAATGCACGACTAGAAGCTTGGATTTGCTGCACATTCTTCAGCTGCTCCTGTACAGCGCTGCTGTCGCCACCGCGGCGATCATCACCCCAGGTGACCACAGATCCATCGCCAAGGATTGCAGCAAATGCTGCGCTCAAAAAGCTACCACTCGCGACTACGACCTGCTTCACACTCAAGGTCAGCACGTCACCGCTCTGCAGCCCTGCTTTTATGATATTTGACGCGCCATCAAGTACCTGCCCAGAAGAGTTAAACAGCCTGCCTCTGCCAGCATTTAGAGCACTCCGGGCACGTCTCTCGAGAAACTCAACAGACTCATCTGTGTCCACTTCCAGAGATGCCTTCTTTCCACTCAGCAGATGCACCTCCACCGAAATCGACATTGCGCTTCTTCGCGCTTCTTAGGGTGGTCGTAGCAAGCAAATGCTAAGCCTGAGTTCAATTGAATCCTACAGCCATACCCGGTATACATCCTTGACATGCTTCCCTGTGCGAAATTCGTGCACTTCAGCAAGGTAGCACTCGAGAACCATACATTGAGGACAGCAAAGCAGACCCCAGGGAAAATCCAGAGTGCAGGTCCCTTTTATGACTTCCTATACAGCTCCAGCTCTACTTGTTCTACTTAGATTCGAGATCCCCCAATTAATCTGTAAATCGGAGTTTAGGGTTTAGGGTTTAGGGTAAATCGGAGTTGGGAGTACTGAGCCACTGAGCCCTGTGAACCTGCCTCTGCTGCGTGAGGCAAATTACACGTAGGGCCAGCTTGCCGTCCTCTCAGGTGCTGACTTATTCGGAGGCCGGGGTATATCTTCATTGTTCTAAATATCATAACTTCATGATATCTATAAACTGTGAAATCATACTTAGTGGTATTTATATTTAATAAGTTTAAGACGATGGGGTTAGGATCTTAGGGTTCGGGATTCCGGAGTTTGGGTTCTTGTTCAGGGGTTTCATTTTAGTAAACCCTAAACCCCTAAACCCTCAACCCTCCACTAAACCCCAAACCCCTAGACCCCCTGAGCCCCTGAACCCCTAAACCCTAAACCCTAAACCCTCGACTAAACAATCCTCGACAAAACCCTTAACCCTAAACCCTGATTCCCAAATCTTCCCTTCCCAGAGACTCCAATATCCCTTAATCAAGGAATATTCCCTAAATCATATTTGGGATCCTACTATAATTTAGGGTACATTCCCTAAACCCTAAACCCTAAACCCCAAAAGTCTCTGGGTTGAGGAGTTTTGGAGGCTCGTCTTGGGCTCCGAAGAAGCAAAGGAGGCCAGCGCGAAATGCTAATAATTAGAATAGGGCTGCGGGGTTTAGGGTTTATTTAGGGTTTAGGGTTGATTTAGGGCTTAGGGTTTATTTAGGGTTTATTTAGGGTTTAGGGTTTATTTAAGGTTTAGGGTTTATTTAGGGTTTAGGGTTAACAATTAGAGTAGGATGCCCTTTAAAGGGTTCCTTGAAGGGGTCTTTAAGGGATCTACAGTAGGTTTCCATCATGTAGGAGCCTTAATAATAGAATAGGGTTTAAGGGTCTATTCGGGGTTTATTTAAGGTTTATGTCGGGTTTAGGGTATATACAGGAATTAACACAGAGTATTGTATTGGGCTCCCTTTTCGTATAGCTTTAACAAGGAACCCTAAGGAAGAATATGGGTAATCATGTAAACTTCTACAGTAGCCACCAGAGGACCACCATGGTTTAGGGCTTAGCGTTTAGGATTTGGACTTTAGGGGTTTAGGGTTTTAGGAGTTTAGGGATTGGCGTTCAGGGAGTTAGGTTTTAGGGGTTTACGGCTTTAGGAGTTTAGGGGTTTAGGGGTTCAGGGTTTAGGGTAGGGTTTAAGGCTTTAGGTTTTAGGGGTTTAGGGTTTAAGGTTTATTTGAGGTTTAGGGTACAGAAAACGCTGCGGAACGAGCACCCTTAAAGGGATCTATAAGGCTCTTGAAGGGATATATAGGGTTTAGGGTTTAGGGTCTACTTAGAGGATCATGGGACTTAGTAAGTAGAGTTACAACAGAAACATGAACCTTGGGTTTCAGAGTACAGAATATCGAGTTTGTGTGCAAATCCCACAATCTATGCGGCAATACCATTAGTGATTAAGCCCTAAACCATAAACCCTAAACCCTAAGCCCTAAACCCTAAAGCCCTTCTGGTCCTTGGTGTCTTTCGTCTCCACGTCGCCAACGTCTGCAACGAAGGCCTCGGAGATGTTGACCTCGGGAGTTTAAGGTGTTTTGTGCGGGCCCATACCCAAGCCCTTTTTCACACTTGCCACCCTGCATAAATACATTCGCGTATGATCTTTTTCTGGTGTCTCATCAAACTTTTAGGGTTCGGGGTCTTGTGGGTTTCAGAGTTTAAGGTCTAGGCTTTCTGGATTTTGGCCGGTGCTCATATGGTTTACATGCTTCTCTGGTGCGTCATAAGGGTCTTTGGTAAAGGCCGATGGGTTTGTTAGCAGGGCTTTCATGAAGCTGCACAGGGTTTTATAAGGGGTTGTGTAACCTCCCAAATCTAATCTTTGAACCTTCTACAACCCTGACATCTACAATCCTCCAAACCCAATCCTGAAACCGTCTAGACTCCTAAACCCGAAACCCCTAAACCCCTGAACTCTAAACCCTGACTTCTCCAATCCTGACACGTGGCGTAGGTTCTGTCTGGCTTTTCCACGGCCTGCCCAGAGACTTCAATATCCCTTTTTTAAGGAACATACCTAAAATCATAGTAGGATCCCTAATACGATTTAAGGAATATTCCTTAATTGAGGGTGGCAAGGACCAGAACACTGCCGAGGGTTTGGTTCTCCGGATTTAGGCCCAGGGCTGTCCTTCAGGGGCTGGTGTCATGGTGTTTGGGGTACCCGTTTTAAGGAGCCCTAAGCGCCTTCGGCTTCCCTTTAAAGAAATCCAAGCACCCCTGGGCTTGGGAGTTTTGGGCTGATCTATGTGGGAGTTTCCGAATATAGGGACCCTATATAGTACCCTACATAGTAGGATCCTTATTATAAGGACCCCAAAATACGGTACCCCTAATTTTCGGAAACTCCCATGTTGATGCAAAATCTAGCTTCGAGGATAAGGACGCACTACGGATTCTACGATTCATCTTCACGGTGGCTTCACGATGTACTTTTTCCTTGATACTCCTTCGACCATACGTCCTGGCTGCTTTGCTTAAGGCTTTGGTGCAGGGCTGAGGGTTTTTTCGAGCTTTCTTAATTTAACTCATCTCGTGAGAAGCCCAAAAACATAATTAACCCTGAACCCTACGCCCTTTCAAGGTACAGTAACCAAGGGAGCATGTTCTTCACTACATACCCTTCTAGTGATACCTCAACTGCAGTTCCCCAACATAACCCAGAAACCCCCAAGCCTCAACACCCGCAGCCCCAACGCTCCAATCCCTTATAAGAAAGAAAAAGCTATCACATGTGAAAAACCAGATTAGAACTCCATCAACTGGTCCATCAACTTCTAGAACCCCAGACCCCCATTGTCGGGGCCTCAATAATAAGAATGGGGTTTCGGGGGGCTCCTTCTTAAAATAACAGTAGTATTCTAATTATTCATGCCCCTACATTAACCTAAATCCGAAGCTGCCCTGCGTTCCTACGCTTCTCCCGCCCTGCCTCCAGCAAGGGCAATGGAAGGTTCTGCGTCCTTGCGGCTTCAGAGGGAGCCTGCAGTATCTGGATGTTGACGGCATCCGGGTCGGCGCAATTTAGGTAGAACCTCAGCGTTGCCCAGAGACTCCAATATCCCTGAATTAAGGGATATACTCTAAATCATAACACTACGACAATTTAAGGTGGTCTGTTCCTCACCCATATTCCTTATCTCTGGTTGCTACAGCAGTCAAGAGTCTGCCTGCGGGCGTGGGTTGATTAGAAGCCTGTCTGGAAGCATCTATGGGCAGGTGACAGCTTCACGGAAAACCTAAACCCTAAACCCCAAACCTGGGAGGCAGCTACAGGCTCTATCAACGCAGCCTTCAATACCCTCATAGACCACATGAAACCCATCTAAAGCCCTGTGACCCTGGAGGTTTGTCGAAAACCCTCGAAAAACACAAGACACCTTATGGCAAGCATCTCTTCTTCCTGAAGCAAGTTGGCTCGGGATGCAAGGGTTCGATTTAGAGCTTTGGTTTGGCTAGCTTGGTCCTCTTGGGGACACGGAATGACGCCAACGAGTCGCATGGCGCAACGATGCTGGGAAAGTCGCCAACCCGTCCCCTTGCTGCTCGAATGCTCGTCAGCAGGTCTTGAAACCCCACACCCTCAACCCTGAACCCTGAAACCCAAAAAAAACCAACCTTAAAGCCTACACCAAGACCCAGTGTCTTAACCCCGACCCTGGACAATTCCTGGAACCCCCCCCCCCGTTAACCCCGCACAAAACAAAAGAACCCCCCGACACTCCTCGAAGCCCTTCTAGAACTCTACTTGGGTGGTTGTCAATATCAGGGTCCCTTTTTGGGTCCCTATTATAATACGGCACATAATATTTAAGGTACCCAAAAAGAGACCCTAATTTTGACAACCACCCACTTGAAGCATCAGGGGACTTGGTAAGAAGAGCTATAAGTATAGTTCGATCTACTTGTTAACCCAGTTAAGTTGTTTATAAGCCTATACTTACTAAGCCCCATTCTCCTCCAAGTAAACCTGCTAACTGCCGCAACCCTAGACCCTTCAAAACATATTGATTACCCCCTGAACCCTGCAATCCCTCAAGCCTCGAACCATTAAATCCCCAGACCCTGAACCCTAAACCCTGCGAACACAATCCCTAACCCATACCCCTAAGCCCTAATTCGTTAACCCCTAAACTCTAAGACCTAAACCCCTAAGCCTAAACCCCTAAACCCCTGAACCCCTGAACCCCTAAACCCCTAAACCCCTAAACCCCTAAGCCCTAAACCCCTGAACCCCAAAAAAAACGCACCCCAAACGAAGGTTTTTCCGGCCTTCGGCCGGGTGGAGCGAAATCCAGGCTCTTTCCCTTCAGCTCGCAGACCTTCTCAAAGGTTTAAGGCTAAAGGCGGGTGGGGTTTAAGGTTTAGGGTTTAAGGTTTTTTTTTAAAGTGTAATGACTCTTTAAAAGGGTTGAAGGTTTAGCATTTAGGGTTTAGGGTTTAAGGTAAAGGGTTTAGGGCTTAGATCCTAGGAATTAGAGTTTTAGGTTTGGGGGTTTGAAAGATCAGGGTTTCGGGTTCAGGGCTTAGGGTGTTAGGGTTTTAGGGTATCAAAGATCAGGTTTAAGGTGTAGGGTTTAGGGCTCAGGGGTTTGGGTTTAGGGTGTGTTTGTTTCTGAATGTAGACCCCTTGATTGATTAGGACCTCCCCCACAAGGATTACAAGACGTCCCAATATTGGGTCCTTTTAAGAAAGACGGCGTTATGCTGTTCCGTTGGAAAGCTCTGTGTTTGGGGGCAGACTTCCAGTATCAAGTTTCGAACTTGCGACGTAGAGATTAGAGGCTGCTCTTACTGGTTCTTGTCGTTCTCGTAGGCTTTGTGGTGGTTTACTAGGGTCTGTATCGGAAAACCCTAAACCCAAAATCCTAAATCCTAAAACTCTAAACCCTAAACCCTGAACCCTGAACCCAAACTCTAAAACCTTAACTCTAAGCCCTCTAAACCCTCAACCCGAGGAGCTTCGGTTCTAGGGTTCAGGTGGTCGTGCTGCCAGGCAAGCAATGAGGAAATGGGATGCACGGATGCACGGCGATCCTCTTTGGTATTGGGTAGCTACTGCCTAGTATCATTCTTTTCTCCTGACATAGTTGCAGTTGTAGTGGCAGTGACAGGAGAAGGAGTAGTAGTGATAGTCGTAGTAGGCAGTAGCTTCCATGCTCTAGGAACTTTGGGTGTCTAGGATGTAGGATTGAACCTAAAACCCCCAAACCCTGACCCCTATAGATCCCTTATACGAACTCAGGAATCCTATAGCTTAAATCTTAATATGAAGCGCTATATAATCTAGGTCATATTCCGTAATTAAGGGAAATTGGGCTCTCTGGGACCAGAAGAACACCAAGCTGCCTTGAATCCACTGAGGCGGACGACTGCTCCCGGGTGGAGGCCTGGATGCCTTGAGACTCGTTTCGGGTAGTGTCAGGGCCTTAGTAATGGGAATAGGGTTCCTTTAAAGGGTTTCATAAGGGCGGGCTCGTTTAAAGGGTTCCATAAGGGCCAGTATAAGGGTTCTATAAGAAAGGGGCCTTCACCATTTGAATGGGGTTTGGGGGCCATTTACTATATTTGAATAAGGAACCCCCAAAATAGCGTTGGCAATTATTTAGGCCCCTATATTTGACACCTGACTAACTAGCTCCTCCTTTTCAAAGGCTTGATGATCAGGACTCCAGTACAACGTAGGTTTAGTGTTTAGGGGTTTAAGGTTTAGGGATTTGGGGGTTTAGGGGTTTATGGGGCTTTAGGCGTTTAGTGGTTCAGGGGTCAAGGGTCTAGGGTTTAGGGTTGGTCTAGCGCCCACAAAGGAGTGTCAAGGTCTACAGTACCGGAGTCTTTGCCTTCCCCTTGTGCACGATAGCCTGTCTGAAAGTTCATCGTGATGCCAAACCCACAGGGCTTGCGGGTGTAGGCAAGTATACCTTAACCCCACGTAACCTACCTGTTTAAAGACGTATATAAAGAAATCATATTAGGGAACCCTAAAAAAGTAGGTTCCTTAGGGTCCAGGTAGGCAACAGAAGGAGCCCAGAAGGACTACGAATTTTCAGCGAACCCCTATAGCGTTGCTTTTTCCTCCCCTCCAAATTCCGCTGCTGCAAAAGCTAAAGTCACAGGCCCGCTGACGCCGAAGCCAGCAGAAAACAGAAAAAAAAAAAAAAAAAAAAACATACTATACACCCCGTAGAACCACAACAAAAATAATAGGTTCAATATTCTCTTGGGTTTGTATATGAGCAAAAATAAAAAAATCCTAAGGAATATAGTAAGACCCAAGACCCGTGAAGTTAAACCCGGATCGCGATTGGAGGCGCTCTTTGAAGCCGCCCTGGAAGAACTTGACGTCGACTTGGCCGGTGGCGTCGCCTTCTTTGAAATTCTTCCATGGCTTGTTTTGGGGGCTCAAGCAACGCGGGAACCTGCTTCAGAAGCGCCTACCAGACAGCAGCCACCAAAAGTCCATGATCAGGCCCTTACACTATGAGAACTTCGGATTGAGGGGTGTTAAGTTTAGGGCCGAGAGGTGTTAAGCTTTGAGGATTCCAAAGATTCCGATCCGAGCTGAGGGTGCAAGCGTCTACGACTCAGTCCGCTCCCAGAGACTCCAATATCCCTTGATTAAAGAGTATACCTAGGATTCCTTTGAAGGTATCCTTAAGGGTTCCTTTAAGGGATCTATAGGGTTTAGGGCTTAGGGGACTCCAATATCCCTCAATTAAAGAATATACCTTAAATGATAGTAGGATCCCTAATATGATTTAAGGGGTATTCCTCAAATAAGGGGTATTGGAGTCTCTGGGCCAGCAGTTTGGAGTGTTCAGCTTGCCTAAATAAATAGGGTTTTGGGGTACACGATACTACATGGAGGATCATGGGACTTAGTAAGTAGGGTTGTAAGTACCCTAACTCGGGTTACAAGTAAATATAACGATAGTTACCTTACTTATATCCCTACTTACTAAGTCCCCTGAACCTTTAAGTATAACTATAAGAACCCCCATAATGGTACCGGTAAATAGTCAAGCCCCCAAAAGTGGCCCTAAACCCTAAACCCAAACCCACGGCCTACAGCTCTGGCTTGGAAGAAACATGGACCTCAGTCATACTACTGCTTGGGATCCAAAAGTCTCTTCAGAGTAATCTAGCCTCAACCCGCTTGCACCAAACCCTAAAAGAGCCCCGCAACCCTCCCGCTGCCCGAACCCATAAAAATAGCCAATAGCCCAGACCCTAAACCCTAAACCGGAACCTTTATCCTGCTGCCCTACAGCCTCACCAAGAAACCTTAAAACTTCTGAACCCCAAGCTTTCCAAGGGTACAGGGGAGGGACCCTTAAGAAGGAATCCTGGGTATATAGCCCGTTATGGGGTGGGGATCCCCATTAAGGGTCCCTCCTTCTGCTCTTTGAAGCTTTGAACCTCCAAACTGTAGCCGGTGGCACCCAAGCGCACATGAAAGCTCGTCCCGGTCTTGTGGTCGGACCGGTACACGATCTTCCCTCACAGGGCTTGCTATAGGGGTCTTGAAATTTGGAATAGAGGGTTTGCTTAAAGTGTTCTGTGATGGTTCATCGCAGCATTAACACTTAGAAATCAGCTTTTGGTGTATGTTCTTCTCAACTTAGACTACGAATTAGTGGAGCGCGCAGAATACGGACCTTGAACCCCAAACCCGAAACCCTGTGAGTTGCGCAAGCCTGAAACTCCTTTAAGTTCCGCCCGAGACATTTCTACAAAACGATACCGGAAGCTGCAAACCCCACCAATGTCCACGTGTTCCACGATGCCAAACGCAATACCGAAACGCCCAACCCTCAAACCCCAAAACCACCCCCCCCCCGCAACCATCCGCGACAGAGAACGTCAACTAACCGGCTGCAGGGCTGTATATCTAAAGACCGAGTGATTTCCCCAAGTCAACCTCCTGTTGGAGTTTAGGGTTTCGGTTTGTTGTTAAGCATTTAAGCTGTGGCTTTTAGGTCTAGGGTCTGGGCTTTGTTGGGGGCCCAGGGTTGGGGCTCCCACTACTGACTGTATTACATACCCAGAGAGCCCACTACCCGTTGATTAAGGAATGTAGCTTAAATCATGATATGAGGACCTATGCAATTTAAGCCATATTCCTTAATTAAGGGGTATTGAGTTCTGGGCATACTGGGTCTTCGCAAAACCTGCTCATGACTAGCAACGTCCCGTTCCAGCAACTTGAGCCCCCGAATGCTTAAGACCTCAAACTGACGTTGAGTTCCCCAGAGAGCCTAATACCCCTTAATTAAGGAATCAAGGAATATGGCTTAAATTTTATGGGGCCTTATACCATGATTTAAGCTATGTTCCTTAATTCAGGGGTAGTGGGCTCTCTGGGTCTCGGAGCGCCTGCAATGAACACCCGTTCGTTTACCTGTAGCCAATCATACCCTACCTGTTGAGGGTTCCTTAGTACCCAGAGATCCCAATACCCCTTAATTAAGGAATATTCCTTGAATCATAGGGGGGCCTAATGTTATGATTTAAGGTATATTCCTTACTTAAGGGGTATTGGGTTCTCTGGGTATGGGTTCTACCTCACAAAGGTACCCCTCTTTTGGGCCACTGGTGGGGCTTTAGGCTTCAGGCCCCGAAAACCCGAAGCCAGACGGGAGTCCTTGCAACGGTGCTTCCAGTACACCCAGCTTCAGCTCCTCATCCACCTCCTGAATGTTGCTGTTAAGTTGGGGGGGAACCCGAAACCCTAACACTAAACTCTAAGCCCTAAGCTCTAAACCCTAAACCTGAAAACCCTAAACCCTGGACTTGTTGAGTTAGGGGGGAAGGGTGGAGGGGGAAAGTGGAAAGTTCAGGGGACTTGGCAAGTAGGGTTAAAAGTAAGATATCTACAGTTACTTCTAAAACTAACTAAGCGACTTATAACCCTACTTACTAAGTTTCATGATCCTCCAAGTAGATGTATGACTACGGTTGATGATATACATCCTGCATTCCCTTAATGACCCTAGGCTACGGGAAGTATGGAATATTCCTAGCTATGAGTAAGGCAGGATTTTTATCCACAACCTTAGGATCTCGACTGTTGCAACCTCAAAGCCCAACCCATAGACAAACAGCAACCCTGGAACCCAAGCCCAAACTCGTGAACCCTATACGGGAGTTTCCGAAAATAGGGGGCCCTAATATGGTACCCTAAATAGTAGGATTATTATTACAAGGCACCCAAAATAAGGTACCCCTAATTTCGGAAACTCCCATACCGAAAAAGGCCAGGGTAGGGTAGGGCAGCGTAGGCTAGGCTAGGCTAGGGTAGCCTAGGGAGCCCGTGATACCAAGGTCCTCAACGCTGAACCGCCAAGAGTCTAGAGCTGAAGATACGGAGGGTTGCCTCCGGGCTGAAAGTCCAAGACCCTGAACCCTCAAGGTTTAGGGTTTAGGGTTTAAGGTGTAGGGTTTAGGGTTCAGGGTTTAGGGTTTGGGGCTTAAGGGAACCTTAACCCTTCAACCCTGAACCACAAGCTCTACGGTAAGGGCGTACCCTACAGACCCTCGGGCTGGGGACAAAGAAGAGGCTCTGCTTCAAAATAGCACGTCTAGTTCCATTGCAGGGAAACCCAGCAGAGAGTCGCCAAAAAACAAATTTCAAAAAAACAAGCAATTCAAAAAGCATGCAACTTTATCGACCCGACAAGCGCTCTGAATTCAAACGCTTAGAAGGTCAGCTTCCCACCGAAAAACCCTAAAAAACCCTAAACGAGCCCGTACAGCCCCCCTAAACCCTAAGAAAAGATCGAGTCTAGGCTTAAAGCTTCAGGGTCCAGACGTAATCCCCTAAACCCTAAGGCTCCCTGGTGCTTAGTAGGGAATGGGGGAATGGATCCCTATGGCAGCCCCTACCTGGACCCTAAGGAACCTGCCTTTTTAGGGCTCCCTAATATGATTTCTTTATATAAGTCCTTAAAAAGGTAGGTTACTTGGGGTTAAGGTATATAATCCCCAAATAGTCGTCTCCATAATCCATTCCCCCGTTCCCTACTGCTCGGAAAGGCCCATGTGTCTTGCCGTGCATCCACAAGATATAGGATCTTGCAAAGACCGTGTAATCCGGGGTTTCTCCCGCATGGACAGGCTCTTGTGTTAGGGTGCTGTTTTGTAAAGACAACATCCAAGTGTGCTCCCTTCCATGCAAAGTGCCGGGCACAGGTCGTTATCACGGTTTGTGCATGGATTCTCTTCTCATCGGATGCACTGGACCTGTGCATGACTATGGCGGCTCTACACTACGGAGGCACTTGCGCACGGAAGGCGCGCAGGGTTTAGGGTTAAGGGTAGAATTTGCAGAAGATTGAAACGGCAGCATACGGCCAGGAGGACGTTTTCAGCATGTCGTGGTGTCCTGCGGCGTAGCGTCCGGCCTGAGGACCAGACCCTACACCCCTCAACCCCAAGCCTCCCTAAACCCCACTCCCTAAACCCCAAGCCTCCCTAAACCCACGCGAAACCCCACGCCCTAAATCCCAAGCCCTAAACCCCAAGCCCCGAACCCCAAGCCCAAAACCCTAAGCCCAAAACCCTAAGCCCAAAACCCAAAGCCCAAAACCCTAAGCACTAAGACCCAATCCCTCAACCCTAAAACCCAAGCCCCAAATCCTCAAGGCCCAAAACCCTGAAGTAGGACGGCCTAGGAACCCAGAGAGCCCGATACCCTTTAATTAAGGAATATGGCTTAAATTCTATAGGGCTTCATACTATGATTTAAGCTACCTTCCTTAATTCCCTTGTAGAACCCCTATAGATCCCTTTAAGGAACCCTTCAAAGAACCCCTAGGCCTTAGGCTATATTCCATCATTAAGGGGTATTGGGCTCTCTGGGAAACTTTGGGATGGAGCGGGCCCCGAGCGCCTGAATGGTCACTGCGCGTGGCCCAGGTGGCTCATTAGCTGCAGGCTCTGCCGTTGGAGCCTTCTGGGGGCCCCCTTAGAGGGTTTTATAAGGGTTCCTTTAAAGGGGCTACTGTAGTTTAGGGTTTTCTGGTTTAATGAGGGTTGAGGGTTTAGGGTCGAGGGTTTAGGGACTTAGGGTTACCACCATCATTGTCGGAGCCTTCTGGTACTGTAGGGGCCTTAATAATTACAATAGGGTTCCCTTTAAAGGGGTCCTTTAAAGGGCTACTATAAGGGATCTATCAGAGGGTTCTATTATATAAGGGCTTCAATAACTAGAATAGGGTCTTGGGGTTTCTTATACCATCATGATAATAAGGATCCCCCAAAAGTATGGGTAGTTGTTTAAGCCCCTAGAGTACGTGCCACCACCACCACCACCACCACCACCACCACCACCACCTCCGCCTCCTGTTATGCACCACCAACTACTGCTGCTACTACTTCCTTCTGCCACTACTACTTTTACTGCTACTACTACTACTACTACTACTACTACTACTACTACTACTACTACTACTACTAATACTACTACTACTACTACTACTACTACTACTACTACTACTACTACTACTACTACTACTACTACTGCTACTACTACTACTACTACGACGACTACTACTACTGCTACTACTACGGCTACTACTACTACTACCACCACCACTACTACTTGAAAGAATTGGGCGGGTTACCCTACAGATAAAAGTTCTGTGATTAGAGGTTGAGGGTTGACCGGCTGTTGGGATTTAGGGTTTACGGGTTAACGGTTGTGCGGTTTAGATACCCTAAACCTCCAACCCTAAAGCCATGTTTTTAAGGCTCTCTCTCACGACCAATTAAAGTTTGGCTTCTGGAGCTTCAAAAACTGGGTCTGGGTGCCGAAATCGTTTTGACGGCAACATTTTAACCGAAACGTTCCGAGCGAAACGTGTTTCCCTTTGGAACTATAGAAAATTGTTGAGGGTTTGGGTGCCAATAAGTTTTGACCGAAATCTTTTGCCTTTTGGAAGTATAGAAATTGTTAAGCGGTTGGATGCCAATCAGATTTGACCGAAACGTGTTGACCGATTTTTTTGACAGGGCTTTCCTGTTAAAACCTGCTTCTGAATTTGGGCTGGGAGTGAGGCCTTGGGGCTGGATGCTTGCTTAGAGGATATGGGACTTAGTAAGTAGGGTTATAAGTACCTTAATTACGGTTATAAGTAGATATAAGTATAGTTACCTTACTTATAACCCTACTTACTAAGTCCCCTGATCCTCCAAGTGGGAGGCCATGGAGTGCTCGGTGCCGGGGCGGGGCTGGGCGCTGGGGGGCTGGCTGGGGCCGGTTGTTGGGGGCGGGCCTCGACGGTTTAGTGGGTTCAGGATGAACAAAGACACGCAATTTCTATTTGTTTCGCTCTTGAGGGTTTAGGGGTAGGGTTTATTTAGGTTTCAGGGCTAGGGTTTTTTAATTAAGGGTTGAGGGCTTAGGATTTTCCATAACCCTTTGAAGATGATTCCTCTCAACCGTTCAGGACGCGGAACCTCGGAAGTGGGCGGCGGTGGTTCGGTTGCAGCCGCTTCGCCCATCGGCTGCGCGTTGGCGTCGCCAGGAATTTCCGCCGATGTCTCGCCCTGGGGCTTAGGTTCTAGGGTTTAGGGTTTGGGGTTTCTGTTTAATGGGTTTAGGGTTCAGGGTTCAGAGCTTAAGGTTTTTTCAAACGCTTCAGGGTTTTTCTAAATGAGTTTAGAGTGAAGTGTTTAGCTTAAGGGCCGGGTTGAGGCCTGCGCTGGATTGGACAACGAGAATAGCACCCGGGATCTTGCTTCGGGCTTGGCGACCAAGAGGACTTAGGAAGTTGCAGCGGTGCCTTTTGTAGTTTACGGCGTGGTTTCGCAATTGAGGGCTTCGCTTGAATTTCGGCTGAGGTGACGGGGCAGCAGACAGGGCAGGCACTTTTGCTGGTTGGAGGGGCCTGCGGCTGGGCCTTTGACTGCAGTGATGGAAAGGTAACGAAGCCAGAAGAAGGCATTTGGGGCTCAGAAGGGTATGGGTATAGGGTGTCCTCAACACCAAGGCAGCAACACGAAAGCCCCAACCCGAAACCCTGGTAAGGTCCCGAACCCAAACACGTGCGCATTGAAATTTAAATAGCCCATCCCAAACCTCTAAACGTCTTGAAGCCACAACCACAAAACCCCTAACTTCTAACCCCCTACACCCGCATCCTCAACGCAAAAATGCCTGGCGCTGGCGTTTCTTCTCAAGTGCCGCCTGCCTGGCGGATAGATATGGGGCCTTAACAATCAGAATAGGGTTTTGGGGCCCATTATACTATAATTATTGTGAGGAATCCACAGAACAGTATAGTATAGGTAATTCCCAGAGCCTCCAAAACCCCTTAACTAAGGAATCTACCTTAAATTGGAATAGGACCCCTTATATGATTTAAGGTATATTCCTTAATTAAGGGGTTTTGGAGGCTCTGGGTTATTGAGGGCCCTAGAGTCGCTAAGGGCGCCGGCGCTCTTACGTAGGGTTTGGGATTGGGCGTTTACGGCTTCAGGTTGAAAAAAGCTGGTTGCAGCAACGATAACCACGGGAACGCTGGTAACAGTGAAACCAGCATTGGTAAGAAGAAGGGCAGGGAGAGCGGCAATAACCACTGAGACAGCAGCGATGGTAGTAAAAAGAACTGAAAGGGGAATGATAACAACAAGATTTACGACAACAACGATGAGAACAGCATCGCCAAAAACAGTGCTGCTGCTACCAAACATACTGACCCTTGTCATGACAAAAAGATGACACTCGCAAAAATGATACTGCTAACAGCACCAATACCGGCGATGAATGGCGATGATTAGGGACTTTGGTTATTATGGATCGGGCCTACAGTCTCTCATTAAGAACCCGCCCAGGATTCCTTCCTTAGAGGTTCATGGGACTTGATAAGTAGGGCCATAAGTATCTAAATGAAGGTCTGCACTAGATACAACTGTAGTTACCTTACGTTTGACCCTACTTGGAGTTTCCGAAAATAGGGGGCCCCAAATATAGCACCCTAAAATAGTAGGATCCTTGTTATAAGGACCCCGAAATAAGGTACGTACCCCTAATCTTCGGAAACTCCCTAAACCCTAAACCCTAAACCCTATAGATCCCTTATCGTACCTTTATAGTAACCCTTTAAAGGAACCCTAAGGTACCCCTAATCTTCGGACACTGCCACTTGCTTCTCGAGGATGCCGCAATACACTTCTGTCAAGCTGGGGCCCACCAACCCAGGGCCGAAAGACTGCGTTGATCAAAGGGGAAAAGGAGGGACCCTTAATGGGGACCCCTACCCTATAATGGGCTATATAATGGGTATATAATAGCTACACTAAGGGTATATACCTAGGGGTCCTTATTAAGGGTCCCTCTTTTTACCCTTGGAGTTGGGCAGTTCTCTATAACAGGGTCCCGCTTGGAGCCTTTCATGAGTGTGCCGTACTATTTGGGAGTTTCTGAAAACAAGGCGAACCCTGATATACTATCCATTGCAGGATTGATGTTAGTAGGATCCTGAAATAAGGTACCCCTAAATTTTCGAAGACTCCCATTTGGGGTTAAAGCCTCATCCCTGCGATCTGCTTTTCTTGACTCCCACACACCTACAATAAACCCGGAATAAGCCCTCCTGCAACACAAACCCCCCAGAGCCGTGTAGACCTCTCGCCTGCTCCGTTCCAGCCTTTGGCGCTGCTCCGCAGACACCTCTGCAGCTCTCTTGATTGCAGCTTCTCAAACTTGGCATTTTGAACTTGGAGCTTACTTAGAGCTTCGGGGAAGTAGTAAGTAGGGTCAGACATGAGGTAACTGTAGTTATATCTACTAATTATCCTAATGACGGTACTTACAAACAATAGTTGTTTCACAGAGGTATAAGTATCCTATCCCCAATTAGGATCCGTTTTAAGGTGCTTACAACTCTACTTACAACGCAATTTGCTATGTCCCCTGAACCTCTCAGCAGGGTTTGGACTGTCCCCGTGTGAGCTTCGGGCGATGCTACATTGGAACGTCACCAAAAGGGACCTTAAAGGTTCGAAGAGGGTTTTAGGGGAGTTTGGAGCTGTCTATGTCTGAGTCTTGAAAAGGATAAAAGCCATCTGAAAGGCTTGAATAGAGTTTTGGAGGAGTTTGGGGTTGTTCCTGTTTCGAAAGGATAACAGGCGAAAAAAAAACAAAAACAAAAACTTCCCCTAAACCCTACACCCTAGACCCTAGACCCTTAACCCTAATTCCGACCCCTGCATCGATTGTTTTTGGGGTGTGAGGCTCGATCCTCATGCTGCGAAGGCCGTGGGTTCATGGCTTTTGGGGCATTCCCAGAGACTCCAATATCCCTTAATTAAGGAATATTCCATAAATCATATTAGGGATCCTATTAAAATTTACGGCATATTCCTTAATTAAAGGCTATTGGAGTCTCTGGGTTGGCCCTGAGCCCTGGAACTACCCAGAGAGCCCAACACCCCTTAACTAAGGAATGTAGCTTAAATCCTAATATGAAGCCCTATATAGTTTGAGCCATATTCCTTAATTAAGGGCTATTGGGTTCTCTGGGTATGCATCTCTCCGCAAGGAGCCATAGCCCTGTACTCAGTACTGAAGTTAGAAACTTCCGCTCAACGCAATCTCTACCCTAAGCCCTAAACCCCTGAACCCCTAAACCCTCAAACCTCAAGCCACGGCCTGCCCAGCAGCGACTGCGGAGCTGAGAGGTGCCACGGCTTTGATCTGCTTCAGGAGGTTGCCGAAGTCCAAGGCGCTCCATCTTGGGACCGGCCTTCTCGTTGCTCTCTATAAGGGTTTAGGGTTTAAAGTTTTTTTTTTCTTTTTTTAAGTTTAGGGTTTAGGGTTTAGGGTTTAGAGTTTAGGGTTAGGGGACTCCAATATCCCTTTTTTAAGGAATATACCCAGGGTTCCTTTAAAGGGTTCCAAGAAGGGATCTATTTGGTTTAGGGTTTAGGGACTCCAATATCCCAAAATTAAGGAATATTCCTTAGCATATATGCTCTCGGGTCCCGGGCCGCCCCCCCCCCCCCCCTGGTATCCCCCCCCCCCTCCCCCCAACCCCCTGCTGCCCTGCTGCTGCACGCCCACCCGCCCTGCCCGCCCCGCCGCCCCCGGCCCGCACCTTGCCTGCCCCTTGACCTTGTGCGCGGATCGGGAGTGTCGCACTATGCCCTGCCGTGTGCGGAAAGCGGCATCTGACGTGAATTGCAATGATGAATTATGAGGGTTGTATTGCGATGGTGATGGTGGCAGATCTTCTTTTGAAGGTATCAATGATGAACATGACGACGACAAGGATGATGTTGAGCATGGTATGATCGTCGACTCATGTCCCGGTCTAGAGCAGCACAACATCATGAGCAGTATAACCGGTGCCACAACAAGAGGGAAGACAAGGAGTAACACATAAGAACGTCGTGGCAAAAAGAGTACCACCACAGGCCCCACACCACAGGGGGGGCGGGGGGGAAGGGGGGAGGATACCATGGGGTGGGGGGGGAGGGGGGGTGTGGCAGCCCTGCATCATAAATATAATAGGATCCCTAACATGGTTTAAAGAATATTCTTTGATTAAGGGATATTGGAGTCTCTGGGTGCTCTGGGTCTAGGAGGGGGACTAGGACTCGGAGTAGGAGCAGCAGCAGCAGCAGCAGCAGCAGTACTAGTAGTATTTAATTTGTAGTACAATTCTTACCAGCAGTGTCATAACGAGTACTGCCACGAGAACTGGCGAAGCCCACTTTTCGTTCGAGTTTTATGGCTCCCTGCGCAAACGTATACCCTAAACAAGTACCTTAACCGGGAATACAAGTAGATATAACTATAATTACCTTACTTATAACCCTACTTACTAAGTCCCCTGATCCTCCAAGTAAACCTTACGTCAACCCTAAACCCTAAACCCTAAACCCAAACCCTAAAGCCTAAACCTTACGTCATCCCGCTCGTGTCCTTTCCAGCTGCTCGATCTTGATCGCAGCCTCCTCCACGCAGAAGTTGCACCAAAAGCCTCGCTATGGTAGAGGATCAGGGGACTTAGCCAGTAGGGTTCCCTTATGGGTTCCTTGGAGGGTTCTATAAGGGTTCTTTTTAGGGGTTTAGGGTTTAGGGGACTAAGTAAATAGAGGATCAGGGGACTAGTAAGCAGGGTTCCTTTAAGGGTTCCTTGAAGGGTTCCTTTTAGTGGTTCAGGGTTTAGGGGACTTAGTAAGCAGGGCTGTAGGTAAGGTAACCCTAGATGTATCGACTTAGAACCACCAAGATCCTCCAAGCAATAACCGGCACGGTCGCCTGAAGCGAAGGCCACACCGTGCATCCAAGCCGGTAGCTGGGTCTTGTCGTCCACGAGGCAGGCAACGAATGCGCCCCACCAGGCATCGACAGCCTCTCAGGTTTCCAAAGGGCTCTTTAACTGGTTTCTTCAAGCCGGTCTACTAGAGTCTAATTTGTGCGGCAAACTACACAGGTGTAATTAAATATTCAGGCTTCCATATTCGGGTGTTCGTGCCTTCTTCATCTCTGGCCACATGCTCAAGATGCGTCCGAGCTCTGCCCCAGCCACGGCCAGATGAATGCAGGCCGGATGCTCGGCATCCAGCAGCCGAAGGGGCCGCTTGATGTGAAAGCCGCTTTTGAGAAAGCCCACATCTTGCAGCTTCTTGAAGGAGAGCTGCTCATGACGCATCGTCTCCTGGGCTTTGAAGCAACCAGGGAAAATAAAGGATAAAACTTTTGTAATGGTTCCTTCTAAGTATAACAGGTCCCAGAAAAAGCCGTAAAGTACGGTACTCCAAAGCCCAGTATCATGAATCACCGCAGAAAAAACTTCCAGCAGATCATCTGGAGCGCGATGGGGCGACCGTGCGGTGGTGAGAAGCCGCACGAGAAGCGAGGTGAGCGCATACCTAGGCTGTTCAGAAACCCTAAACCCTAAACCCAGAAACCCTAAACCGTAAAACCAGAAACCCTAAACCCTAAACTACCCAGAAACCTGAAAGTAAAAAAGTGTACCACTGAAGAGCCTGCATACTGCCCGACCATCTGCCCCAGGACCTTGCCTCGCTCCCTCATGCCAGTATAAGCCCACCTGGGTGCTCTTTTAAGGGATGCAATTCAAGTTTCTACAATACGGAAACCACATAATCTAATGTAGATCCCATTATGATAACTGATAACTGTAACCTAAAGCACAGGTACTTGCGATCCCCATTATGGTAACTTTAAATTATATTCCTTAACAAGAGCCCAGCCACAGCCACACGTGGTCTTTCAGCTTCGGGTCATGAGCTTGCTTTTGAAGATCCTTCGCCTCTATCGATTTTGCGATTGTCTCGGCTGCGCTGCGATTGGCCTCAGTGCACTGTTAGGAATAAAAAAACGGGATGACATCAAGGTATCATGGACAGTCTTATATTTGCCTGTATGGTGCTTTTCATAAAAAGCACTCGGAATCCTAAACCCGAAAACCGCAAACCCACCCGTGCACAACCATTAAAGAACCCAGCAAGAATCCTTTACGGCACCTTCGACATAAAACATAAAGATCGAAGACCCTGTAAAATCTTGATAACCCTATACAACCCCATTTAAAAATGCAAAAACTTGTAAGTACTAAACAACCGTAAAAACCCTCCGTAAGAACCCAGTAAAACGCTGCTCTAAGCCTTCGGCCACGCGGTCAAAGAGTTCGGCCAAGCGATGCGGAGGCGGAGGTTCAGAGGCCAATGCACCAGGGTTCGAGGTAGCAGAGGATGAGGAGCAACCTCCCCAGAGAGCCCAATACCCCTTAATTTAGGCATATGGCTTAAAATATATAGGGCTTCATATTATGATTTAAGCTATATTTCAGGGTTCCTGTAAGAACTCTATAATGGCTCCTTTAAGGTATCTATAAGGGTTTTGATGATGGTTCTATAGGGCTCTAAAGGATTAGGAGGCTTAGTAAATAGGGTTGCAGGTACCTGATTTAGGGTTAAAAGTACACACAACTCTTGTTACCTTACTTGGGGCACCAGGGTTCAACGGGATGAACCTCAGGGGGTCTAGGGTTTAGGGTTTCTGGGTCTAGGGCTCATGGGCTTGGGGTTTAGGCTTCAGGGTTTAGGGTTTATTGTTTAGACTTTTGGGATTGGGGCATAGCTGGTAGGATTCAAGAGTTTAGGTTGCGACACAAACCTCTGACTGCGATCATGTCCTCGAGTCATCCCCATATGTGCAAAATTCTTATGTTTGCTGTAGCATCCCAGAGGCACTGCCGGCGGACTTAAACCTAAACCTTAAACCCCAAAGCCCAAACCCTCACAAGGTGGGAAGTAGAATTTGAGAGTTTCCGAACGTAGGGGACCCTAATTGCAGTACCCTGAATAGTCGGATCCTTATTATAAGGACCGCAAAATAAGGTACCCCCTAACTTTTCGGAAACTCTAAACCCTAAACCCTTTATAGAACCCTTATAGATCCCTTTACAGGAACCCCTATAGATCCCTTTAAAGGAACCCTAAGGTACCCCCTAACTCCATTTCGCCAACGAGGCCTTGCCGTGGGGCTTGAACCTGCGTCTCCTGGCCGAGCAAGGCGCGAAACGGATCCGCTGCCCGGCTGACCTTTGCAAAGGGTGTCCCCAAAGAGTCCACTATCCCTTAATTAAGGAATATTCCTTAAATCTCATTAGGGGTCCTAGCATAATTTAAGGAATAGTCTTTTTAGATCATATTAGGGATCCTACCAGAATTTAAGGAACATTCTTTAGATCCTATCAGGAATCCTACCATAATTCAAGGAACATTCTGAATATTCTTTAGACCATGTTAGGGATCCTACCATAGTTTTGAGGAAGATTCCTCAATTAACGGATATTGGAGTCCCCGAAACCCTAAACCCTATAGATCCCTTATACATTCCTTAAAGGAACCCTTATAGATGCCTTTAAAGGAAGCCCGTTTCCTCTGTATGACCCAGAGTTTTGGACTTCAAGTTTCGGGCCTGGGGCTCCCCGTCGAATCGGCCTGGGGTACCGACCCAGAGATCCCAAAACCCCTTACCCAGAGACTCCAACATCCCTTAATTAAGGAGAATACTTTAAATTATGATAGGATCCCTAATATGGTTTACGGAATATTCATTATTAATTAAGGAATATTGGAGTCTCTGGGTAATGAAGGAATATACCTTGAGGCCTAAGGGTTCCTGAAAGGGCTCCTTAAAGGGATCTAATGATGGGGGCTCTATAAGAGAATTCAGGAAGGTATATCTTAAACTATAGGGGGGCTTCATACTATGATTTATAGTATATTCCTCAATTAAGGGGTATGGGGTTCTTTGGGGATTTTGGTTTTGACAGAACCCAGGAGGCAAAGAACCTGAAGATAGCTGCAAAGCCATGAAACCTGAACTCCGAAACCCTAAACCCCGACGCCCTAGACCCTATAACCTCTGTAAGACCCTCCCCTGATAAAAGACTCATAGAACAAGCCTCAAAAGAACCCTTATGGAGCCCTTACGCAACCATCATAGAACCCCTATAAACCCTCACAGAACTTGTGGGAAGCATAGCAAGACCCCCCATTGGAAGCTCTACAAAAGCCCTGACGGTGAAACTATAAATACAGCACCGGTATATAACCCTAACCAAGTCCGATAAACACCGCATAGAAACGGTTTGAAGCCTCTCAAACATTGTTTACAAACCAGAAAGACTAAAGCCTGTTGGAACTAAAACCCTGAAATTTAAACCCTTCAAAGCGACCTTACACAAGTCATAAGACCTTGAAAAAGAAGCCTCAAGCCCAGTGGAACTGATACTGACCCTTAGAGTAACCTCAGAGCCTCAGCCCCGCGGGCTATCCCCGATAAGTCTTGCGACTGCAAGGCAAAGCCGAGTACCCCGAAAGAAGCGCCAAAGAACCCTAACCCCCCTTACTTAGAGGATCATGGGACTTAGCAGGTAGGGTTATAAGTAAGGTAACTACAGTTATATCTACTTATAACCCCAAACTGAGCTACATATAACTCTACATACTAAGCCCCATGGTCCTCCAAGTACAGACACCTCATCGAACCAACCTTGATAGGACCCAGGCTGGAGGCCTCAAAAGGTCAGATGAAGGCAGGGAGGTTTAAGGATCCGTGATTTGCAGGACTGTTATTGCGAGACTTCCCTACCTACCTTCACCCCACCCTGGGAGCCCCTGCCTCATAAAGCCATAGAGCTGTAAAAAGCCTGAAACCCATGGCAACTCTACTTGGAGGACCATGGGATAGTAAGTAGGGTTATAACTACCTCCATGGGGGTTACACGTAGATAATAACGACAGTTACCTTACTTATCCGCCGACCCCTGCGGGCGGCGCCTGTGATATCCCGAGAGGTGTCCGCACCCACACCGCTTCCTCCGCCTCCACCGCTTTGTTCAAAGAGTCTTTCGCCGCTGTATTTGTAGGTGTTTAAAGAGTATTTCAAAGCCCCCACCGCCCACACCGCCCCCACCGCCCTCACCTGCCTATGTACCAGACTGCCCGCACCGCCTCCACTGCTCTGTTCAAAGAGTTTTCGCCGCTGTATTTGTGGGTGTTTAAAGAGTATTTAAAGGCTGCCAATGTATGCCCGGACCCCCCCGCGCCCCCACCGCCCACACCGCCCCCACCGCCCACACCGCCCTCAGCGCCCTCACTGCCTTCACCTGCCTATATGTACCAGACTGCCCCCACCGCCTCCACTGCTCTGTTCAAAGAGTCTTTCGCCGCTGTATTTGTATAGGTGTTTAAAGAGTAAGAGTATTTAAAGGCTGCCAATGTATGCCCGGACCCCCCCGCGCCCCCACCGCCCACACCGCCCACACCGCCCACACTGCCCTCGCCTATATGTACCAGACTGCACCGCCCACACCGCCCTCAGCGCCGTCACTGCCCTCACCTGCCTGTGTACCAGACTGCCCCCACCGCCTCCACTGCTCTGTTCAAAGAGTCTTTCGCCGCTGTATTTGTATAGGTGTTTAAAGAGTATTAAGGCTGCCAATGTATGCCCGGACCCCCCCGCGCGCCCACCGCCCACACCGCCCCCACGCCCTCACCGCCCTCACTGCCCTCACCTGCCTATGTACCAGACTGCCCCCACCGCCTCCACTGCTCTGTTCAAAGAGTCTTTCGCCGCTGTATTTGTAGGTGTTCAAAGAGTATTTAAAGGCTGCCAATGTATGCCCGGACCCCCCAGCGCCCCCCACTGCCCACACCGCCCCCACCGCCCACACCGCCCTCACTGCCCTCACCTGCCTATGTACCAGACTGCACCGCAAACACCGGCCTCAGCGCCCTCACTGCCCTCACCTGCCTATGTAACAGACTGCCCCCACCGCCTCACTGCCCTCACCTGCCTATGTACCAGACTGCCCCCATCGCCTCCACTGCTCTGTTCAAAAAGACTTTCGCCGCTGTATTTGTAGGTGTTTAAAGAGTATTTAAAGGCTGCCAATGTATGCCCGGACCCCCCCGCGCCCTCACCGCCCACACCGCCCACACCGCCCACACCGCCCACACCGCCGCTCTGTTCAAAGAGTCTTTCGCCGCTGTATTTGTAGGTGTTCAAAGAGTATTTAAAGGCTGCCAATGTATGCCCGGACCCCCCAGCGCCCCCACTGCCCACACCGCCACCACCGCCCACACCGCCCTCACTGCCCTCACCTGCCTATGTACCAGACTGCACCGCCCACACCGCCCTCAGCCCTCACTGCCTATGTAACAGACTGCCCCCACCGCCTCCACTGCTCTGTTCAAAGAGTCTTTCGCCGCTGTATTTGTATAGGTGTTTAAAGAGTATTTAAAGGCTGCCAATGTATGCCCGGACCCCCCCGCGCGCCCACCGCCCACACCGCCCCCACGCCCTCACCGCCCTCACCTGCCTATGTACCAGACTGCCCCCACCGCCTCCACTGCTCTGTTCAAAGAGTCTTTCGCCGCTGTATTTGTAGGTGTTCAAAGAGTATTTAAAGGCTGCCAATGTATGCCCAGACCCCCCAGCGCCCCCACTGCCCACACCGCCCCCACCGCCCACACCGCCCTCACTGCCCTCACCTGCCTATGTACCAGACTGCACCGCCCACACCGGCCTCAGCGCCCTCACTGCCCTCACCTGCCTATGTAACAAACTGCCCCCACCGCCTCCACTGCTCTGTTCAAAAAGTCTTTCGCCGCTGTATTTGTAGGTGTTTCAAGAGTATTTAGAGGCTGCCAATGTATGCCCGGACCCCCCCGCGCCCCACCGCACACACCGCCCCCACCGCCCTCACTGCCCTCACGTGCCTATGTACCAGACTGCCCCCATCGCCTCCACTGCTCTGTTGAAAGAGACTTTCGCCGC